CTTTTCGCAGTGTAAACGAAGCGATCGAATGTGTTCTCCATGATCTCAGCGGTTTATCCCATAATTCAGTCTTTTCTTTCTCACCATTGTGAATTGGTAGCGACTTGAGTAAGGAATTAGTCAAAGCAGGGCAACGTACAGTGTTGTGCATGTTCCTGCGCCGTTGCGGTAAAAGCGAATGCATGCGTGACTCATTAAAAAGCTTCTAACGAAACTGTAGCACCGGCGTTTGACAGAGCTCATTATACCTAAGGCGAAAAACATTCCGGCAGGTAGCCACTATCAAAGGATTGGATGCCACCTTACATTTGTAATAATATCCATAAAAGCACCTAAATTTTGTCTTTACGTTGCTCTCTAGCCTCTGAACAGAAAATGGCTTCTCATAGACAAGTAGGTGGAAGACCCGATAAAATGATGCTTAGCGAATGATTTCAAGAAATGGACAAATTTTCTTTTCCTACCACTTCTCCGAATTCACACGGCGTAGTTGCACCGTCTCCTTGCTTCTAGTAGCCCAAGGGACATTTTAATAGAGTAATATCTCCATGCATTATTCTTAAAATTTTGACCAGTATCTGGCAACTCGATCTGCTAATCTTGTTAGGATAAAGCTTCATTTTATATCTCACTGACTGAAGGATGAGATTTGCTCTTTCTCTCCTGGCACGTAAATAATCACAAAATTAAAAAGTTCATTGTCAAAATTAAATATTGTTTCCCGGGCATAAGGCCTTTGTTTTTGCTACTAAGGATGATTATTTTGAGCGAAAATCAGTTTTGCGAGACGTTGTACTGTGCTTCTGTGCGGCGTGATAATAGCCGTATTTCCGTCGCATAGGACGCGCCCCAGCCTCTTAAGAAAGTTACTTAAAACCAGCCTGGACCTTGAATTCTGAGTCAAGCCTGGGACATATAAACATTTCTTTCGTACTTTCTAGAATTATTTGAATGTGACATGAAGAAGACAACGATTTCTTACGCCAGTTTTGAAGCTTTTTAATGAAACTAGCTTTGCATACTGTCGTTACAGAATAGCTGTCGTCAGTATTTTGGGCAGAGATAACCATTTAATGACGTATAGTTACGTGTCGATATTATGTTGTTCTCGAAATAATTTTTTAGAATGTTTTTTGTTTGTTAAAAAAAATGATGCATGCTTTGCGTATTGGGAAAACGGTAATTTATTGCAAATGTTTGAAGTATGAACTAAGTGGATTTATTTGGGGACAGTGAAATCGCGAATAAAATGTTTGCCTTACACTTCAGAGGTTATAGTCCTATGTGGCCATGTGGTGTCATTTATTAAATGCTAATCCCCTTGTACAAGGAATTCGTTCCACTGCGCTTTGGTGCAGCCAGTCGAGAAACGGGTAGTATGTCGCCGACCTACCAACACTAGGGACAACGTTATGTTCTTGTTTGGTAATGATAGTGTTTCAGACACAGCCACGCTGTCTGATGCATGCACATTAGGGCTGCAGTTCTCCTTGCACTGCCTGTTTGCTGACTAGATGGGGTGACCTGTACAGGAGATAAAAAAGTTGATATGCAACTATCTGGAAATTCGTAACCGATCTTGAAGTGACGTTTTCTGGTTCCGTCTGTTTCGATCTACAATTTGTAAATTACTTAGTCTCTACTTGTTGTATATTTCTCCTTGAACGTCCTGCACGATCGTTTGTTTTGAGTAAATTCACTTTATTCTAGACGTGATGTGCAAAACGAACTTGGCCGTTCGGTCAGCATACTTGATGTTTACGGATTCGAGAATTTGTTCCAAAACAGCTTCGAGCAACTGTGTATTAACTACGCGAATGAAGTGCTGCAGCAGTTTTACATCAGACATGTTTTTAAATTGGAACAGGCAAGTGTTTATGTTTTGTTCATTATTGAAAGCAGCATTAAACACGTTTGATTTATGCACAATGCAAACAGTATGGGCAATGGGATGATTGACCAGCACCGAAGTTTCCGTCCCTGTCCCATGGGATTTTTTTCAAAGTTTAGTTCGGAAGTTCTTTCTGTGGTTAGCAGCTGTTGTATATTTGTATCTAGAAGGATTGTTTTAGGTCCTTGCTGCTGGTTGAGTAGTTTTTCGCAACTGGCGTGACAAGGCGTATCCCATTCTCACAACGTTCGTATACCTTTTTGTGGTTGACTGGATGGTTAATGTCTCGTTGACGCTTCCGTTCGGTCAGTGTCCTTTGATAATGCTGGTACACTCTTACTATCTCGAAGGCGTGCTTTCCTATACTGTGTGTTGCAAAATCTCGAAGGTCTATATGCTCTGTTCTTTGGCCTGACATGGTGCGAGACTGTTTTCTTCCCGCGTGCTTTGTTACTGTGTTTCATTCACGTTTGTCTGCCATCATTCATTTACCTCAGCTTGACAGGCTGGTCTTTGTTCTT